AAGAGAACATTATAATACTGGAATTCTACATTTTAAACGAAGAGCTCTATGTATTTCTATTATTCCCTCCTCCTCTTTCTTTATACGAACACCGTGTGTGTGTGTCTGTGTGTGTGTAATTCATGTCACTTCCGTTTCCACCCTCCGAGTGAAGTGCATGGTCAGCCCTCACAGTGTATCTTTTGTGGTCGAATCAAGTCTGTAGGCTGCTGAAATTGATAGAAAAAAATTAGGACCTGCTACAATAAGTACCCAAAGAAGCTGCAACTGCCTTCTGGTGTCCATTACACACCAGCCTTCAGGAAGACATAAAGATGGATACCTCTCCTTTCACATTATTGTTTGATGCAGTGGTGACTAAGTAAGAGCTACCACATTTCCATGCTGTGTGTGTCTGAACTGGATCACAAGGAATAGGAGGAACGCGGTTAAAGAAGGGGTGACCAGGCCATGGAAATCCCAGTAATCCTCCAGCTCAGTGATCTAGAGGTAGAGGCCATTTCAACCCTTGCTCACAGGGGCGATGGCAAGTGAGAGGCTTACTTCCTCATACTAAGACTGAAACTAAACCTTACCTCAACACTGACACTTGAAAGAGAAGAAGGCTTCCTCTTATACGAACTAGATTTGTTCCAAAAATGAAAAAGATCAGAAGCAGCTTCCAGAAAGACCTGTCTTATAGGAAATAAGAGCAGAGACCAAGACTGAAGCAGATGTTGGGTCTGAGCAGGGAGTGTATCCACCAAGAGTTTACAATAAATCTAAAGGTAAATTGCTGGATGTGCTTTTCTCAGCTAAAAGAAGCACAACTGAATGTGCTTTACTGGGCAGCTTCTTATCTAATTTACTGGTTATGCTATTCAGTTTCTTTAGAGTTTTATTTTGTTTTCTATAATTTGAGTCTTTGATGGTGAAGAGATAATTGGAATTCACTATGAGAACAAAAGCAATATTATTACAGAGATCTCGGTTCCTGAGAATAGAGCATTACTACTTGATTACCACTACTTCTGAGCAAACAAATAATTTTAATGTTAAAAGAAATCTCTTTGGGCTTTGAGTTGAATCTGAATGTTGGAAAGGACTCTCTTGGTTGTAAACCCTTATCAGTTTGTCATTCCTGTGAAAGACCATTTAAATCAGGGAGTCAGAGAAGAGAGCTATGTGGCAGAGTGTGGGGAGAGGTTTGTTCCTTTGTCCAATCTTTCTCGAAAGATCATTTACAAACCATTGAACCAATCCATCACCAGAAGACAAGGGCATCCACATAGTGAATCATTCCGAACATCCCCGGTGTTCCTTTAATCTATTTTTGTTCCCTCAGTATGATAATAGAACCTTCTACACCACAGGAAAGAGCAAAGCAATGGTGTGGATAGCCTCATGCCTCAATAAAAACCACTCCTTTGCTTTCTTGGTGTGAGCAATAATCTGTGCTTCACAGGTAGAAAAAAAAAACCTGCTGACTTTATTTATTCTGCTTCCCTGGTGCCACCAAAAGTATAAAGAGTTTAGTTTTAAAGATAAATCACCCACCCCAAACAAAACTTGACAAGGAATGGTGATTTTTTTTTTAGTATTTATTTAGTGTCCATTTTTTGTGACGGTATTTATATTTTCACTTTACCTTTCTAATGAAAATTTAGAATTAGTAATATAAGATAGTGCATAAACTTTAAGCAAATAATTAATATGAAGTGTTGTTTTGTATGAATAAAAAAAACCATGGTGACTTTTTTTTTAGTTAGTACTAATATCTTTATTATGGAAAGGAAATAATTTTTATCACTTAAAATGTTTCTTTTATTTAAATGTTCTACAAATTTTTATTTTTAAAATTATGGTAAAATACATATAATATAAAATGTATCATTTTAACCATTTATTTATTTATTTATTTTAAATTTTAATTAGTTTCAAGTATACAGTACATTGGTTAGACATCAATATAGTTAGTAAAATGTTCCCCCCCAATTGCTCCCTCCCCTGACCCTCCACCGAGCCAATGTATTAATGCTAATTCCCATCCCCGTGACCATCCGTCAGCTACTAATTTGTACTTCTTTAACCCTTCACCCCATTCTTCCAGCCCTTCAAACTCCCCTTCCCTCTGTCCATCACCATATTGTCCACTATATTTGCTAGTCTGTTTTTTATTAGTTTGTTCTTCCCATTCCTTAAATTCCACAGATAAGTGAAATCATATAGTGTTTATCTTTCTCTGTCTGACTTAAATATCTTCTAGGTTCATCACAGCAATATCTTTTTCCATCCCCTTCCTTTTCATATGTAGAGGTCTTGTTTTCTTATCCTTTTAGCCGCTCCATCCCTTGGTTGGAGTACTTAATTCTTTTCCATTTAAGGTACTTATTGATAGGAATGTAGTTGTTACCATTCTTTATTCCTATTTTTGATACATGTTTTTCTTCTTAAAGAAGTCCCTCCAACGTTTCCTGTAATTCTGGCTTGATGGTGATAAATTCTTTTAGTTTATTTTTGTCTGGGAAGCTCTTTATTTCGTTTTTTTTACCCTAAAAATAAATTATGT